CAGTCGGAACAAACAAACTGACCAAAAGACTTAGAAGGAAAAGCTGGGAATGAGATGTTAATAAGATGTTTTGAGAAGCTTCAACCTATTCCTAAGAATACAGAAGGCCACACGTGTGTATGGCTGTGCACATGCCCAAAGAGACCTGAGAATTGTCTAGCTCTTAACATCTGTCTGACCTTAAGGGTCTGCACAAGCAGAAAGAGAGGACAGAGGCAGAGGGAGGGAGGGAGGGAAGAAGGAAAAGTAGGAAGAAGCAAAAGAGAGAGAGGAGGAAGGAAAGAAAGAAAGGCAGGCAGAAAGAGGGAAAGGGAGAGAAAGATGGAGGGAGGAAGGGAGTGAAGGAAGGGAGGGAGGGGAGAAAGGAAGGAAGAGAAGGAGGGAGAGAGGGAAGGCTGGAAGTTTATAAAATAGAATCAAGTAGGAATTTTGAAGTTGCAGAGTACAAAAATATGAATGAAAAATTTACTTGAGAATTTTAAAAAAGGTTTGAACTGCAGTGACTTAGAAGTTATTTGAGATGATCCTGAGGAACAGAAAAAAAAACAGCAAAGAAAAACGATCAGTACTTCAGAGACCTGTCAGACACCATCGAACATACTAATGTACACATAATAGGAGTTGTAGAATAGAGAAGTGAGAGAGAGGGGAGGGGATAAAACATATTGGAAGAAATAGTGACCAAAACCTTTTCCATTTTGATGAAAAACACTAAAGTGAATCCAAGAAGCTCAACAAATTCTAAGTAGGAAAAGACTCAGAGTCCACCTCAAGACACAGCAGCCACTAAGAAAATAATTTTAAATATGTAGTAAAAAAAAGACAAACTGAAATATTACACTAAAAAAAAAATTAAGAAAAAAGAAGTAATGAAAAATGGAGAAAAAAAGAGGCACAGGAAACAGTAAAATGGTAGATAAATCCTGCCTTATCAGTAATTTCATTAAATGCAGATGAATTCGGCACTCCAATCAGAAGGTAGAGATTGGCAAATTGTTTTTTTTAAAAATCATAATCCAACTATATGCTAGCTACAAAAAAACACACATCATTTTATTTTTATTATTTGGAGACAGAGTCTTGCTCGGTTGCCTAGTTGGAGTGCAGTGGTATAATGACAGCTCCCTGTAGCCTCAAACTTCTGGGTTCAACTAATGAACTTCAGCCACCCAAGTAGCTGGAACTACGGGTGCTTGCCACCATACTTGGCTAATTTAAAGCAATTTTTTTTTTTTTAAGAGATAGGGCCTGGCTTATTTCAAAACTTGCCTGGCTAATTTCATTTCACATAATAATCTCCAGTTCCATCCATAGTTGTTGCAAGTGACAGGATCTCATTCTTTTTATGGTTGAACAGTACTCCACTGTGTATAAGCACTATATATTTTTTTGGCCATTCGTCTGCTGATGGACACTTAGATTGCTTCCAACTCTTGGGTATTGTAAACAAGACTGCAATCAACATGGGAGTGCAGATATCTCTTTAAAAAAAAAATTTTTTTTTTTTTTTTTTGAGATGGAGTTTCGCTCTTGTTACCCAGGCTGGAGTGCAATGGCACAATCTCGGCTCACCGCAGCCTCCGCCTCCTGGGTTCAGGCAATTCTCCTGCCTCAGCCTCCTGAGTAGCTGAGACTACAGGTGTGTGCCACCATGCCCAGCTAATTTTTGTATTTTTAGTAGAGACGGGTTTCACCATGTTGGCTAGGCTGGTCTCGAACTCCTGACCTCAGATGATCTACCCACCTCAGCCTCTCAAAGTGCGAGAATTACAGGTGTGAGCCCCTGTGCCCAGCTGCTCCATTTTAAATTCTTTGAGAAATCTCCATACTTCTTTCCACAGTGGCTCAACCAATTTACATTCCTACCAGCAGTGTATTAAGCATTCTCTTTTTTCCCACAGCCTCTTCAACATCTGTTATTTTTTTTACTTTTTGATAACAGCTATTCTGACTGGTGTGAGAAGATACCTCCTGGTTTGATTTGCATTTCTCTGATGATTAGTGGTGATGAACATTTTTTCATCTGTTTCTTGTCCACTTGTATGTCAAGGACATTTTAGATCGATAAAGGGATCAATCCATTAGGAAAATACGACAGTGATAAACATATACACCAAGCAATACACCCTAAAGATACATGAAGTAGGCTGGGCGCGGTGGCTCAAGCTTGTAATCCCAGCACTTTGGGAGGCCGAGGCGGGTGGATCATGAGGTCGAGAGATCGAGACCATCCTGGTCAACATGGTGAAACCCCGTCTCTACTAAAAATACAAAAAATTAGCTGGGCATGGTGGCACATGCCTGTAATCCCAGCTACTCCGGAGGCTGAGGCAGGAGAATTGCCTGAACCCAGAAGGCGGAGGTTGTGGTGAGCCGAGATCGTGCCATTGCACTCCAGCCTGGGTAACAAGAGCGAAACTCCGTCTCAAAAAAAAAAAAAAAAAAAGATACATGAAGTAAAAACTGAGAGACCTGAAGGAAGAAACAGACAATTTAACTACAATAGTTGGAATCCTCAAAACTCCATTTCAGTAATAGCTGGAGAAACTAGGCAGAAGATCAACAAGAAAATAGAAAAACACAATAAACCAACTAGACTTGACAAATACCTGCAAGGCACTCCACCCAACAGCAGCAAAATACACATCCTTCTCAAGTGCACATGGAACATTCTCTGGGGTAGATCACATGCTAGGCCATAAAACAAGTCTCAGTAAATTTAAAAGAATTGAAGTCATACTACATGTGTTCTCTATGTTGGAATAAAATCAGAAATCAATAACAAATTTTGTTAATTTCTGTATTAATGAAGAAATATACAAGTAAAGAGGTTGGACTAATAATTCCTTTTTTTTCTTTTTTATCTACAAAGCATGAATTTTTTTTTTTTTTTTTTTTTTTTTTTTTCTGAGACAGAGTCTCGCTCTGTCACCCAGGCTGGAGTACAGTGGCACAATCTCAGCTCACTGCAACCTCCGCCTCCCAGGTTCAAGTGATTCTCCTGCCTCAGCCTCCCGAGTAGCTGGGACTACGGTGTGCACCACCATGCCTGGCTAATTTTTTTGTATTTTTAGTAGAGATGGGGTTTCACCGTGTTAGCCAGGACAGTCTCGATCTCCTGACCTCGTGATCCTCTCACCTCGGTCTCCCAAAGTGTTGGGATTACAGGTGTGAGCCACTGAGCCCGGCCCGACTAATAACAATTCTTTTAAAGCTTCCCACAGGGAAAAGCCCAGGACCAGATGGCAACACAGATGGTAAGGAATTAACACCAATATGTCACAGATTCTCCTAAAAAATAGAAGAGAAGGAAATACTCCTCAGCTAACTTTATGAGGTCACTCTTAATACTCTGATACCGAAACCAGACAAAGATGTCACAAGAAAAGTAAATAGCAGACCAATAATCTCTTAGGAATACAAATGGAAAAAATCTTCAGCAAAATACTAGTCAACCAAATCCAGCAACATAGAAAAAGGATTATACATTATGACTAAGTAGGACTTATCCTAAGATTACAATGTTTGGAATAACACATGTTCTCTTATAAGTGGGAGCTAGGCTGGGGGTGGTGGCTCATGCTGTAATCTCAATACTTGAGGAAGCCAAGGTGGGCAGATCACATGAGGCCAGGAGTTTATGGAGTCCAGCGTGGGCAACATGGTTAAATCTCGTCTTTACTAAAAATACAAGAATTAGCCGGCCATGGTGGTGCATGCCTGTAATCCCAGCTACTCTGATGGCTGAGGCACAAGAATCACTTGAACCTGAGGAAAGGAGGTTGCAGTGAGCCAAGATCACATCATTGCTCTCCAACCTGGGTGGCAGAGCAAGACCTTGTCTCAAAAAAAATTAAATTAAAAAGTGGAAGCTAACCATTGGGTACACATGGACATACAGATGGGAACAGCAGACACTGGGGGCTACTAGAGCAGGGGGAGAAGGAGGGGAGCAAAGGTTTAAAACTGCTTATTGGATACAAAACTACCTATTGGAACCTGGGTGGCAGGCTGAACCGCATCCCAGACCTCAGCATCACGCAATATACCTTTGTAACAAACTTGCACATGTACCCCCGATTCTAAAATAAACGCTGAGAAGGGGAAAAAAGAATGCAAAGCTTGTTTAACTTACAAAATTGACTTAATATATCACTTTAGTAGAAAAAAGGGGCAAAAAGCACATGATCATTTCAATCTACACTGAAAAAGCATTTGGCAATACGCAACACTCTTGGGGAAAAAAAACCTCTCAACAAGCTAGAAATAAATTACTTTCTCAACTTGATAAAGAGCATCTTTGGAAAACTCACAGCCTACATCATATTAATGGTGATGTGAACGCTCCAGTTGGGAGCTTTCTTCCAGTATCAGGCACAAACCAAGTATGTTTATTCTTGTCACTTCAACATCGTACTAAATGTTGGACGCCCCCCCGCCCCAGCCTCTCCATCCGAGACCGCCCGACCCCTACCCCACCTCCTCCCCGGGCCTCCCCAGGACTCCAGTCCAGAAGATGCGGGGAGGTTAGCGGGGCCCGACCACTGCTTGGCCTTCCAGGGGTGAGCCTCGCGAGTTAGGAGTTGGGTAAAGAGTCAGCCCGGGATCCGGCATCCGATTTTTCGTTGAAGCAACGACTTTGCCGGGATGGCTCCCCAGGGTCGGCATCAGCGTGGGACTGGGAACAGGTTAAGGGAAATAGATGGGAACCTGAGAAGACCGCTCTCGTCCAATCCTAATTGACTGAGCTAATGAGAGCCGAAGAGAGCCAAAGAGGTCACATGCTCAACCGGGCGAGGAGTGGGTTTCCACCTTCGGCATCTTTAGCAGAGGAGGGAGATGCGTGGGGCGGAAGATGGGAGAAGGGGCGAACCTGCCACGCTCTGGCTGGATACAGCTTTAACCGGCCCGTTCACTCGACGGTTTTGGTTCCACGTCGACCCCATAAAACCGTAGGGCCTAAGCCGGGCGGAACAAGAGGGAACTACATTTCCCAGCAGGCTGCGGAAGCGGGACTCCGGCCACTCCTTCCGGCGCGTACTGAGCGACCGGCGTTAGGTGTGCAAGTAGCCACATGGATCCCTGCAGCCGGTGGCGAAACCTCCCCAATGGGCCTAGCCTAAAACACCTGACCGAGCCGTCTTATGGAATCCCGCGGGAACAGCAAAAGGCCGCGCTACAGGAGCTGACGCGGGCGCATGTGGAGTCCTTCAACTATGCTGTGCACGAAGGTCTCGGCCTCGCGGTGCAGGTGAGTGCGGCATCCGCTGGCGCCCTTGCCGCAGCGAGGCCAAGCTCGAGGCTGGCGGGCGAGAGGGGCCAGGCGGGGCTGGAGGAGGGAGGGGCGGGGGTGGGGGGACAGGGTCCCAGAGAAATGGCTGAGAGGCCACAGTGTGACCCCAAATGCGTGTGCTCCTTGATCCTGACAGGCTCAGTGGGTAAGCAGGAGAGCACAACGTGTTGAACAAGACGCAGAGCTGCGCCTCGTGGAACTTGTATTCGAGTCGTCTAAGAGATGTATTCGTGATTTCTGGATTGAAAAGGGATTGCGAACCATAGTTTCTTGTTGGATAGTTTCTGGGTTCTGTGAGAGTGAGGAAGTGGCTTATTGGGGGCGTGCTTCCCAGCCATTCACAATGCACATGCTTTTGTATCACTTGAAGACACCTCTCCAAAACGTACCTCAAAAAATTCTGAACTTATTTGTAGGTACAGTGTATTGTACAAGGTTATCCTTCAGTTTCCTTCTCTTAGAGCTTTAAAGAGATAAACTACTCATTTGTACTGAATTAAGTAGGTGCTAAAAAAGGTATAAATGAGTCGTAAAGGCAAGATTGAATCGAAAAGTGTAATAGCATTGCTAGCATAGGGTAATGGTAGCAGAATTTAGGTGAGGATGGTGGGGGAAAGTTTCGTTTAGTAAGCATCCGCAGTGTCTCTAGGCACTAGGCTCTGACGATGTGGAGGCAGTCCCGTGTAAGAGGCAGTTCATACATTTAAGTGCTCCCTGTCGTGTTTTGGGGTTGAAGGAGTGAAGATAGGAACGCAGTCCATGCCAATACTCGAGCACTGCTCTGTCAAGGGATTGTATGGGCTACTGTGGGAGCATGTGGGCAGCGCAGCTAATCCAGGAGTTTCAGAAAGGGCAGGATTAGATGAGTTCAAGAGGTGAGAAACATGCATTCCGTCCAGGGTAAGAGTAGAGCAGAGTCACATGCTTAGGGGACCCTACCTGTGGTTTTGTTGCCTAAGATTTGTGTTGTGAGAGATACGGGTAGAGATAATGTGAAGAGCTTTGATTGCCAGTCTGATACTTGAACTCTATTCCGCAAATAATACGGGAGACATTAAAATTTATTTTTTGGTAAGACAAGAGTGGTGGGATATTTGTATATAATGTGCCTTTATTCTTAGAGTATCATGTCTGTGAGAAAAAATACCTACTTAAAAGTTAATTGGACCAGGTACAGTGGCTCACACCTGTAATCCCAGGACTTTGGGAGGCCGAGGCAGAAGGATGGCTTGAGCCCAGGATTTCAAGACCAGCTTGGGTAACATAGTGAAAACTCGTCCCCTATAAAAGTTAAAAGATAGCAGGGTATGGTGGTGCGCACATGTGGTCCCAGCTACTTAGGAGGCTGAGGTGGGAGGCTAACCTGAGCCCAGGAACTCAAGGCTGCAATGAGCTATGATTGTGCCACTGCACTCCAGCCAGGGTAACAGAGTAAGACCTTGTTTTTTTGTTTTTTGTTTTTTGTTTTTTTAAATCAAATTGAGAAATTTTAGAAAAGCACTAATTCATTTAAAAATAAACCAATTGATTGGGTGTGGTGGCTCTTGCCTGTAATCCCAGCACTTTAGGAGGCTGAGGTGGGCGGATCACTTGAGGTCAGGAGTTCCAGACCAGCCTGGCCAACATAGTGAAACCCTGTCTCTACTAAAAATACAAAAATTAGCTGGGCATTGTGGCACATGTCTGTATTCCCAGCTACTTGGGAGGCCGAAGCATGAGAACCACTTGAACCCTGGAAGTGGAGGTTGCAGTAGGCCAAGATTGCACCACTGCACTACAGCCTGGGCAACAGAGCAAGACTGCATCTCAAAAATAAATAAATAAACAAATAAAAATAAACCAATTATATGTTAACATTTATGAAAAACATTTTTCAAAGCAAAAAAGAAAGATGAATTGCATTATTAAAAATCTTTTTAATGTCTGGCTTAATGAAAAGAGAGCTGGATTCTCATGTCTGCTTCTGCATTCAGTTCCTTGTGATATATTGTTTTGGTTGAAGTAGATGAAGAAAATTTGGCCCTACATAGAAAATGATGTCACAACTTAGGACTGTAATAATAACATATTTGAAAATGTTCTGTAAAACACAGTAAAGTAAATGATTAATATTTATAAAGCCAAGGGAAAAAATAGTTTTATCATATTTTTATTTACTTACAAAATGTAATTTTGCCTACTTTCTTTGGAGTGAATTCCTCCTGTGAGTAAGAATTTATTTGTCTGTCTTTTCAAAATACAATTGATTTTTATTGCGTGGGGAGTCTATATTTGCAAATTCACCCACTCACTAAAATTTACTTGTACTGCAAAAGCACCATGCCCAGAAGCAGTGAAAAAGTTGAGTTGTTCAGTATCCATTTTTCCAGCTGAGATCCAACAAGGTGATGCTTGGCCTTCTTGTTTTAAGTTTATAAACTATAAACAGGGGTCATCTTCACTATCTATTTAGTGCCGTGTTTGTGCTTTTTGTTGGGGATTTTATTGTTTAAAATGGCCCCCAAGCAAAGAATTAAAGTTCTGTATAAAGTTCCTAAGCACAAGAAGGCTGGGCTGTGCCTTTTGAGGGTACTATTAATACATGCATTTAACATAGGCTTTGTTCAAGCATGAGTTAGGGACTCAGTAATATTTATTAAATAAGCTGCCTTTAAACAGAAACACACGTAATGCGAGACTGTGTATTGATCAGTTGATGAAATGTGACCAGAGGCTTGCAGGAAGCTAACCATGTATTTACCCTAGGAGCAGTGGTTCAGTATTGGCTAATTCAGTGTTTATGGCAACTGTATGAAACATAACTATTGTGAATAACAACAATTTACTGTATTTAGATCTAAATAGTGCAGCTGTGTCTTGAGAAAGCAAATCTTCTAATCTTTCTTTTTTTTAACTAATGCTCCATTCTTTTTTTTTGAGACAGGATCTACTTTTTCACCCAGGCTGGAATGCAGTGGCATGATTATAGTGTGGCATGATTATAGCTCACTGCAGCCTCGACCTTCCAGACTGAAGTGATCCTCCCACCTCAACCTCTCAAGTAGCTGGGACCACAGGCACACACCACTATGGCCAGCTAATTTTTTTACTTTTATTTTTTGTAGAGACAAGGTCTCCCGATGTGGCCCAGGCTTGTCTCGAACTCCTGGGCTCAAGTAGTCCTCCTGCCTCGGTCTCCCAAATATTGGGATTGCAGGTGTGAGCCACTGCACCTGGCTTTTATTATTGTTTATTTATTTTGTTTGTTTGTTTGTTTTTCTTTTTTTTCTATTTTGGCTTTTATTTTTAAATAAAATATGAAATTCTAAAATAATACCAGCTTTAGATAAAATTTAAAAATTTAGAAAAGGTCAGTTAACTCACGTGAAGGTGGAGAACCTCATTGGTATTCTTTCTTGACTCCATGTTTTTCATTCTCTTTATTCTAAGACTAAGACTATGAGGTTGCCTGTGATGAATATGTAGGAGAACTCGGTGACCCCTCTTCTTCAGAACAACAAAGCTTCCCTCACAGAGTGGTGCAAAGAAGTAACTTCTGTGGAAGGGGAAACCCCCGCTGGCCACCATCTTTTCCTTTTCATGGCTCTGGCTTCATTATGAAGTAACCATTGTACATTAAGCATCTAGTTCTAAGTGCTAAAGATTGTTTCCATATCCTTGCTTTATTAGCAGCAGTGCTCATTTGTCTTGCTATGCACATAGACAAGGTAAGAATACACAAGGCTCTTGGTTCAGATAACAGGAGCTTTGTTCTGTTCATAGCTGTATCCCTAGAGCCTGCTACAGTCTCTGACACATAGTAGGCACTCAAAAATCTTGAGCTAATAATACAATGTGGCTTTATGTATTTAGTGAAGTTATAAGTAGAATAGAGGTAGCCTTAACTGTCTTTTTTAGGTGTGTCATGGTGGCATCAGTGTTTGTAGAACACATAAGATTTGGAAGAGTCTTAGCGAAAAAGTACCTTGGAAATACAAGCAGTTTAATACTGTGAATTGCATTTCAGGCTATACCTCCCTTCGAATTTGCTTTCAAAGATCAGCGTATCTCTTTTACTATTCTGGATGCTGTTATCAGTCCACCTACAGTTCCAAAAGGGACCATCTGCAAAGAGGCCAGTGTTTATCCAGCAGAATGCCGGGGCCGAAGGAGTACCTATCGTGGGAAGTTGACAGTGAGTACTCTCACACTGCACATGTTTGGGACTAGGGGAGCTGCCTAATAAAGTTTATGCCAGAAATTGCTTTCATGGTGCTGTTGTCTAAGAGATCCCACCTTCTAAATCTAAGGCGTAAAATCATTTAATTGATCTTCTTCCTCAGTCTTTGAAAATACTCATTTGTTTTCTCAGATGCAGATATATCTGTTAAGTAATTTTTGCTCTCATTTTTTTTTAGGCCGATATCAACTGGGCAGTGAATGGAATCTCAAAAGGAATCATTAAGCAGTCTCTGGGCTATGTTCCCATCATGGTGAAGTCCAAGCTTTGCAACTTATACAACCTTCCCCCACAAGCCCTCATTGAGCACCATGAGGAGGCAGAGGTAATCACGGGCATCCAGGTGTGAGAAAGTAGAGAAGGCCTGAGTTGGGAGTAGGAAGACAAGAAGTGTGTCAGTGGGTGCCAGATTTTCTTCTCTGTCCCAGTTTCTGGATAGGTGAAAGAGATATCAATATCTTGCCTGCATACAGGGTATGGCTCTGAATGGCTATCAAATTAGACAGTATGAAAAAGTGGCTATAAAATTAGAGAATATTATTGGTTGGGGGGAAGAATTGGTAGGTTTTTCTGAATGATAAAGACATACTTCCATGAAATTAGTTTTTTTCAAGCTGTCTTAACCCACAAAGCTATTGGCAAAAGTTTGTTTAGCTGGGCATGGTGGTGGCATGCACCATTAGTCCCAGCTACTTGGGAGGCTGGGGCAGGAGCATTGCTTGAGCCCAGGAGGCCTGACTGCAGTGAGCCGTGATTGTGCCACTGCACTCCAGCCTGGGAGACAGAGTGGTACCCCATCACTAAAAATAAAATTAAAATGTCTGCTTTGATAATAGTAAGATTCTGTGTGCATGTTTAACAACTCATGCCTTCCCTTCATCATTTCTTTCAGCTGTCTTAGTTGGCGTTGCAGTGTTGAGTTGAGGTAATCAAGACATACAGACTGTGCCTACAGTAGAGGCAGATGGTGTTATGTGGCGGCAAGAGGGTTTTGGTGTCAGAGCTGGATTTGACACACAGCTCTTCAGCTTATCAGTCATGTGGTTAGGGAGGTTAATCTCCCTGAGCCTCAGTTTCCTCTGCTACAAATGGCATAATAGCTATCCCACTCATTGTTATGAGAATTAAGTGTTATGATGACACAGAGCATCTAGTATAATATGCCTGTTTCAGAGCAGGCAATTCTTAAATAGTAGCTCTTTATTACAAAAATGCGATATTGAGTGGAGTTATTAAAAGTTTTTTTTTTTTTTGAGACGGAGTTTCGCTCTTGTTACCCACGCTGGAGTGCAATGGCGCGATCTCGGCTCACCACAACTTCCGCCTCCTGTGTTCAGGCAATTCTCCTGCCTCAGCCTCCTGAGTAGCTGGGATTACAGGCATGCACCACCATGCCCAGCTAATTTTTTTGTATTTTTAGTAGAGACAGGGTTTCACCATGTTGACCAGGATGGTCTTGATCTCTTGACCTCGTGATCCACCCACTTCAGCCTCCCAAAGTGCTGGGATTACAGGCTTGAGCCACCATGCCCAGCTTTAAAAGTATTTTTTTAAACTTATTTGGGAAATCATACTCGAGTATCGAAGCAAAATGGTTACAGTTTTTAATCTTTTGACCCCTCTTTGGAGTAAGTTTTTTTTTGTTTGTTTGTTTTTTTTTTTTTTTTTTTTTAGTGTTATGTGAAGACTGAAGACGTTTTAGGGGACAGAAAAGCAAGTTTTCTTCCATACTTTTTTCCCATGTCCCTCAGACCTTTGTAATCTACTTGAGAAAACTTAATTCACATAAAGGCAGTGTCTGTGTACTGTGTTCTCAAGGGATCAGTAGTACCTTTCACCTCTGTTCTCCTGTTATGTGTGTTGTACTACCTTGGGCTAGGAATGAGGTTCATGTTTACAGTCAAGTATCTTTGTTTAACAAATTATAATTAATCTCTTTGGCAGGAAATGGGGGGCTATTTTATAATCAATGGCATTGAAAAGGTCATCCGAATGTTGATTATGCCTCGGAGAAATTTTCCCATTGCAATGATAAGACCAAAATGGAAAACCAGAGGGCCTGGTTATACTCAGTATGGTAAGCTCTGGAGATTACTACAATGTTTTTTAAGGAAAATTTAAAACCTTTTTTTTTTTTTTTTAAGTAGATGCATTTAAATAGTCTTTGATAATTTTCTTTCTTTTTTTTTTTTTCCTGAGACAGAGTCTCACTCTGGCGCCCAGGCTGGAGTGCAGAGTGGTGTGATCACAGCTCACCATGGCCTTGACCTTCACAGGCTCAGGTGATCCTCCCACCCCAGCCTTCCAAGTAGCTGGGACCACAGGCACTTGCCACCATGACTGGCTAATTTTGTAGAGATGGAGTTTCACCATGTTGCCAGGCTGATCTCGAACTCTTGGGCTCAAGCAGTCCTTCTGCCTCCACCTGCCAAAGTGCTGAGATTACATATGTGAGCCACCATGCCTGGGCTTTCTTTTGTTTTTTGTTTGTTTTTTGTTTTTTTCTATTGAGCATTCCTGTGTTAAGTTTTCATAATGGGGATGGAAGAAGAAATGGAGATTATGTTAGTCAGAGGATACAGACTTGCAGTTACAAGATGAGTAAGTTCTGGGGATCTGATGTACAGCCTGGTGACGATAGTAGTACTGTATTGCTTACTTAAAATTTGATGAGTAAATTTTAGGTGTCTCAACCACACACACGTGCATACATACAAATGATAACTATGGGTGTGATTGATGTTTTCATCAGTTTGATTGTGGAAATCATTACATGTATATGTATATTCAAGGTATTGTTCACTTTGAATATATATGATTTTTATCAATTATTAGCATTTCTAAAATTACAAAAATTTCACAATGGAAAACCTGCACTCTATTATTACCTGTGCAAACCGAAAGAGTATCTGTATTTTTGTTATTGCTTATGAAGATGAAAGCTAGTCTGGCTTGGCCATAGGTGGGTGTGGGTCTTGGATGTCTTCAGGTTCAGGCTACTGTGGCACACCCCTCAGGGTCTCTGTCTGACAGCCACCTGGCCTCTGTTTGAGCACTCTTTGTGACAATGCCTAAGATAGCATGTTGCATTCTTGAGCTGCCTTGAAAGTTAAACAATTTGTCCTGTTAGTTGAACCAAAAATCAGATTTTAATTGTAGTCGTACATACTGTACCTAGAAAAAGAGCATGTCAGAATGTCTAGTCATTTTCTTTTGCCTGAGTTGATAGTGGTGTGTCTTAGCAGTCTTTGCCTGAAACTGAAATAAACTTAAAATCTAAAATTCTGCTTTTCTCCATTGGCACTATTAGATCAAACACCATGTCTTGACCAGACTCCACAGTTTAAGAGGGATATAAACTGCTAAACGACGTGGACTCTGTCCTGTAGGAAAACTTTGAAGTTTGCTTAAATTCGTAGCTTCAGTTATTTTACATTAGTGTTTCACAATCTGGGTAGATTTTGCATGCAGGAGGACATTTGCTAAGTTTTAGAAACATTTTTGATTGCCATTCTTGACTAAACTTAATAATTTGGCTTTAATTGTGTCTAAGGGGGTAAGATTGTTCAGAAAAAAATGATTGAAGCAATTACAGAATCACTGCGTTTCTGATTTTTTTGTTGTTTGGTTCAATAGGAGTTTCAATGCACTGTGTGAGAGAAGAACATTCTGCTGTCAATATGAACCTCCACTACTTGGAAAATGGCACTGTTATGTTGAACTTTATTTACCGGAAAGAACTGTTTTTTCTTCCTTTGGGATTTGCACTTAAGGTATGACTTAATGAATGCATTCTTTTGTTATGAAGAATTCATTGAAGATAGTATCCTGTGCAGATTGGATATATTCTCCTTATTAAAATAATGTTCTAGTTATCTACTGCTCCAAAACAAATTACCTCAAAATTCAATAGCTTAAAACATCAATAAACATTTCTGTCTCACAGTTTCTGTGGGCAGGAGTTTGAGAGTGCTTCGGCTGGACATTTGTGGCCCGGGGTCTCAGGAGGTAGCATTGAGATGTCAGACAGGACTGCAGTCATTTTGAGGACTTCCAAGGTGGCTCACTCACATGGCTGGCAAATCAGTGCTGGTTGTTGGCAGGTGGTCTCCTCAGGGGGTTGCTGTCTACATGGCCCTTTCTGTAGGCTGTTTGAGACAGCTGTCTTCCTCCACGTAGTTAGCTGAGAGAACAGAGAGCAGAAGATGCTGAAGGCAAAAGCTGCAGTGCCCTTTGTGACCTAGCCCTGGGAGTCTCCCATCATCATTTCCACCACATTCTCCTGGTCAAGCAGTCCAGCCTTGATTCAGTATGGGAGGAAACTATACATGTTTGTGAACACCAAGAGGTGAAGACCCTGGAGGCCATATTGCTGTCTGGCTGTCTTACAAAGAATGCTTTATTTTAGAGTTTACTTTGGTTCAGCATTAGCAGGGTGCTAATTTCCTTGGGTATTAAGAAAGAGAAGATAATTGTTACTGAATAGACGAAATATTTTTGTTATTAGTGAGAAATTAAAAAGAAAACCTTTTATTTTCTATTCTAGGCACTTGTCAGCTTTTCTGATTATCAGATCTTTCAGGAGCTCATCAAAGGAAAAGAGGATGATTCTTTCTTTAGAAACTCTGTTTCTCAGATGTTAAGGATTGTAATGGAAGAGGGTTGTTCCACGCAAAAACAGGTCCTTAACTATCTAGGTGAATGCTTCAGAGTAAAGCTCAATGTTCCTGACTGGTACCCAAATGAGCAAGCTGCGGAGTTCCTGTTGAAGTATGTGTGCTTTGCCTGAACTGTTTTTGAAGGGGCAGAGGGCTGTCAGTGGTTCTTTGTATTTGTTGCAGTTTGGGTGGGTGAGTCATCTGCGAATGAGAATGGATCTTGGGGTAGAATTCAGCTCCTTGCTAGCTGGGGGCTGCCTTTGTTTTTTGTGGCTGTTCTCACCTTTATTTTTTTAGTAGTGGTGTTTTATTTTATTGTCCTTTTTAAGTTTTGTTTTGAAATCATTTCTGACTTCCAGCATAATGTCCAAATAGTACATTGGACTCTTATATTCACAAATTGTGAACATTTCCTTAATTTACATTTGCTTTTTTACTTGCTCTGTACACAGATGTACATTTTTCTTTCTGTACTGTTTGAAGGTTGCAGGCCTTATGTCTCTATTTCTTCAAAGCAAGGACTTTCTTATATAACCACAGTCCAATTACTAAAGGAGCCAGCTCCATACCAGTGCTGTCCAGTACGTAGACACACCCCACGTGATGAGCACTTCAATTGTGGCCAGTGTGGGTCAAAAAATGAATGCTTAATTTTATTTAATTAAAGTTAAGTAAGCATGAATTAGGGATCTTGGTTAACAGAGCATTAAGTAGTATTACCAACTAGATTGTTTTAAGCTTTTTTTTTTTTTCTATTTTGACAGCCAGTGCATCTGTATCCACTTGAAATCCAATACTGAAAAGTTTTATATGCTTTGTCTCATGACGCGAAAGCTCTTTGCTTTAGCCAAAGGAGAGTGCATGGAGGACAATCCTGATAGTTTAGTGAACCAAGAAGTCCTTACACCGGGTCAGCTCTTCCTTATGTTTCTGAAGGTAAATGTGTACCGCATCCACCCTTGCCCTGTGGTACCGCTTGTGGAATGGTGTGACTGTCCAGCAGTACTATTTTCTGCATACTTATAGTTTCTAGTTTTGGCATCTTGCGTGGCCTCTTTTTTGTTTATTCATTTAGCAGTAAGGGAATCATAAATCCTAGCATACACCAGGTTTGGAAATTTGCTTAATAGTTTTATATTAAGACCCTATCAAATCTTGGTCATAGTGTTAATGATAAAAAGCAAGTGGCCTATATTCAGACATATGGTTGATCCTCATTATTTGTAGGTTCTGTGTGAATTCACTCATTGACTAAAATTTATTTGTAACCCTAATGTCACTACTTGGTGCTTTCATGATTGTTCATACACATGACAGAGCAGTGAAGAATTTGAGTCTCCCGAGGCAAATATTACAACTGAGGTATGGCAGGGTAACACTGCTTACCTGTTTCAGCTCATACTGTAAAGAGGGTCTTTTTTGAGGTGTATTCAGTGCTGTGTTTTTCATATTTCGTACTTTTTATTGGTTACTTTTTTTTTTGAGACAGGATCTCAGCCTCACCTCCCAGGTTCAAGAAATCCTCCCACCTCAGCCTCCCAAGCAGCCAGGACTATAGACATGTGCCACCACACCCTTCTAATTTTTAATTTTTTTGTAGAAACAGGGTCCCACTATGTTGTAAAGGTTGGTCTCAAACTTCTGGGCTCGGCCGGGCGCGGTGGCTCAAGCTTGTAATCCCAGCACTTTGGGAGGCCGAGGCGGGTGGATCACAAGGTCGAGAGATCGAGACCATCCTGGTCAACTTGGTGAAACCCCGTCTCTACTAAAAATACAAAAAATTAGCTGGGTATGGTGGCGTGTGCCTGTAATCCCAGCTACTCAGGAGGCTGAGGCAGGAGAATTGCCTGAACCCAGGAGGCGGAGGTTGTGGTGAGCCGAGATCGCGCCATTGCACTCCAGCCTGGGTAACAAGAGCGAAACTCCGTCTCAAAAAAAAAAAAAAAAAAAACTTCTGGGCTCAAGTGATCCTCCCATTTCAGCCTCCCAAGGTGATAAGATTGCAGATATGAGCCACTGTGCCTGGCCAGTTTTTGCTGTTTATAGTGTTTCCTAAGCATAGCACTGAAGTGCTGTCTAGTGTTCCGTGTTAACGAATTAACAAGGTATATTAAATAAGGTGCCTTTCAACAAAAGCTTGCATTAAACAAGGTTGTATAGTGATCTTTTGACCAGATGTTATGAACGGAGACTTGCAGGAACCCAGCCCTGTATTTCTCCCCAGGAGCAGTGGTTTTATATGTGCTACTGCGGTGTTCGCTAGAACATAACTACTGTGAGTAGTGAAATTTGCCTGCAAATGTATATAGAGAGAAAGTTGGCATGGCACAAAAATGATTTCATAAGAATATTGATTCAATGGCATTTTATATTTTGTATCTTATCCCCCAAAAGATGTAATCTAAGGGGTAATGCAGGGTTATAGACAATGGAGAGAGCTGAGGTAAAAATCTTGTCTTTTTTTTTTTTTTTTTTTTTTTTTTTTTTGAGACAGAGTGTCACTCTATTGCTCAGGCTGGAGTGTGGCGGTACAATCTTAGCTCATTGCAACCTCTGCCTCACAGGTTTAAGTGATTCTCCTGCCTCAGCCTCCCAAATAGCTGGGACCACACGCACCTGCCAACACGCCCAGCTAATTCTTTTTTTCTGTTTTGTTTTGTTTTTGAGATGGAGTTTCGCACTGTTTCCCAGGCTGGAGTTCAGTGGTGCGATTTGGGCTCATTGCAGTCTCTGCCTCCTGGGTTCAAGCGATTCTCCTACCTCAGCCTTCCAAGTAGCTGGGATTACAGGTATGCACCACCAAGCCTAGCTAATCTTTGTATTTTTAGTAGAGACAGATTTTCATCATGTTGGCCAGGCTGGTTTTGAGCTCCTGACCTCTGGTAATCTCCCTGCCTTGGCCTTCCAAAGTGCTGGGATTACAGGTGTGAGCCACTGCCCCTGGCCAATTCTTTATATTTTTAGTAGAGATAAGGTTTCACCATGTCAGCCAGGCTCGTCTCGAACTTCTGCCCTCTGATGATCTGCTCGCCTTGGCCTCCCAAAGTGCTCGGATTACAGGTGTGAGCCACTATGCCTGGCTTCTGATATCTTTTGTTTCTTTCACGACTGGAGTCTTGCTCTGTTGCCCATGTTGGAGTGCAGTGCCACAATCTCTGCTCACTGTACCCTCCACCTCCCAGGTTCAAGTGATTCTCCTGCCTCAGCCTGCCAAGTATCTGGGATTACAGGCACGTTCCACCACACCCAGCTAATTTTTGTATTTTTAGTAGAGACAGGGTTTCACTGTGTTGGCCAGGCTGGTCTCGAACTCCTGACCTCAAGTGATCCACCTGCCTTGGCCTCCCAAAGTGCTGGGATTACAGGCATGAGCCACTGTGCCCAGCCATCTAATTTCTTATCTAGGCAGTAATTCTTATTTACATTCTTCTCAAAAGGTAATAATTTTTGTTTCTGTTTGCTCTGTCCATAAAATTAGATGGAAAATTTTTAGCAGCCTGGAATTTTCCTGACAAATACTGAAAGCAGGCAGCAGTTTTCTCTTAATTAATTTAATCTGTTATTAAATTAACCTTTCAAGTAAAGGTTAATTTACATTTCCAGTCTACTGGAAGTGAAGCATAGGTGGACTCATTGTATTCCACACTTAGAAATGTGTCTTCATTTCACATCAATTCCTAATTAGGAAAAGAAAAAGAAATGAGACCAGGGATACAGTGGCTTGTGCCTGTAGTCCCAGCACTTTGGGAGGCCAAGACAGAAGGGTAACTTTAGCCCAAGGAGTCTGAGACCAGCCTGGACAACATAGGGAGATCGCTACAGAAATAATAAAACTATTAGCAGTGGCTCGGCACGGTGGCTCTTGCCTATAATCTCGGCACTTTGAGATGCCAAGGTGGGTGGATCTTCTGAGGTCAGGAGTTCAAGACTAGCCTGGGCAATGTGGCAAAACCCTGTCTCTACAAAAAAATATAAAAATTAGCTGGTTGGGCTGGCATGTGCCTGCAATCTCAGCTACTCAGGAAGCTGAGGCAGGAGAATTTCTTGAGCCTGGGAGGCAGAGGTTACTGTGAGCTGAGATCATGCCACTGCACTCCAGCGTGGGCGACAGAGCAAGACTGTCCCAGAAAAAGCTGTTAGCTGGTCATGGTGGTACCTGACTGTAGTCCCAACCACTTGGGAGGCTGAGGTAGGAGGAACCCTGAGCCCTGGAGATCAAGCCTGCAATAAGATATGATCATGTCACTGCACTCTAGCCTGGGTGACAGAGCAAGACTTTATCTCAAAAAGAAAAAAATGCCTGATGCAGTGGCTTACACCTGTAATCCCAACACTTTGGGAGGCCAACATGGGAGGACCACTTGAGCCCAGGAGTTTGAGACCAACCTGGGCAAATAGCCCAGAGACAAGATCTCGTCTCTACAGATAATAAATTAGCCAGGCCTGGTGGGCCATGTCTGTGGTCCCAGCTACTCAGCAGGCTGAGGTAAGAGGATTGCTTGAGCCCAGGCAACGGAGGCTGCATTGTGCCATGATCACGCCAGTATACTCCAGCCTAAGTGACAGAGCAAGACCCTGTCTCAAAAAAGAAAAGAAATGAGTCTTCTGTAGCAAAGCATTACTAAGGTGACCTGTTTCAGCAATGGTAGAAACAAAGGGAAAATTGGGGCTTTTTCAGAGAATTCATTGCTCAGTATCTGATTTCCTTACTAGCTATGTTAAAGCTTTTAAACCTTTGAGTTTGGACCATGAAAACAATCTTGAGAAGATACATGATCATGACATAAGATGACATATAGACTCTTAAAAATTCATATTTTATTTACATTGAAATAAGCAATATAAAATTAAAAGATGGCAACCATATTTTCTGTATTATTTGTAGATAAACCATAAAACACTTGAGTTAGCTTTTCCAGTTTTGATTTTAAACCCAAATAAGGAAGTAGACATAGTTATGAAAAAAGGCAGAACACAGATAAATCAGTTGTCAAGATCCAGGGCTTCTGATTCGATGTTGACCGTGAAACTGAAGTGTTCAGTGTATACCTGATAAAAATGTTTATGACACAGGAAGATGTAGGCTCAAGAAAGGCATCAAAACAGCAGCCAGCAGAGGTGGAGCAGCAATGCCAGGCTCTTCCATTCAAACTTGATCCTCTAAGTTCACTTGATAAGACCAAACCTACGTTGACACCCTTGTTGGGTGAGCTCACAGTTTTCTTCACTCTCATTCGCTTACCTGTATGTTACAGACTTTTAGCAGTCTACTTACAAATCCTACCAGTGTGTAGTCAGTTGTGAGATTCATTATAACATTTTATAAATGTATTCCTTCTTCCCACACCTCTCCAAAATTTATTCCTTCAAAGTACTGAAAATTTAATATCACTGCATCACAGTGATACTAAGTGCAGTGTCAGTGCCAGAGAATATACGGAAATGAAATGTGACACTTCCAGTGCTGTCTGCTGGAAGAATAGGTCTTCCAAGTATGAGTGTTCAAACATGCGTAGTTTAAACAGGTGGATTATCACTAGTCAATGGCTAATGTGTTGACTCGGGGGCCTGCAGGAAAAGGTATTCAGTGATCAAGTGACCTATGTACATCTTCCAGGTTTTCTTCCAAATATCAGATAATAGAAGAGAAACTATTTCAAACATTCTTTTAGGCGTTTTCAATGATTTCTGAACCCCCCCATAGGAAGTGCTGGTGGTGTATAGTCTTTTTTCTTTTATTTTTTTCTTTTATTTTTATTTATTTATTTTTTTTTGAGACGGAGTTCCGCTCTTGTTACCCAGGCTGGAGTGCAATGGCGCGATCTCGGCTCACCGCAACCTCCGCCTCCTGGGTTCAGGCAATTCTCCTGCCTCAGCCTCCCGAGTAGCTGGGATTACAGGCACGCGCCACCACGCCCAGCTAATTTTTTGTATTTTTAGTAGAGACGGGGTTTCACCATGTTGGCCAGGATGGTCTCGATCTCTGGACCTCGTGATCCACCCACCTCGGCCTCCCAAAGTGCTGGGATTACAGGCTTGAGCCACCGCGCCCGGCCTTTTTTTTTTCTTTTTAAGTGCTGGTGGTGTATAGTCTTTTTTTCTTTTCTTTTTTTCTTTTCTTTTTTTTTTTTTTTTTTGAGACAGAGTTTCGCTCGTTACCCAGGCTGGAGTGCAATGGCGCAATCTCGGCTCACCGCAACCTCCGCCTCCCGGGTTCAGGCAATTCTGCCTCAGCCTCCTGAGTAGCTGGGATTACAGGCATGCGCCACCATGCCCAGCTGATTTTTTGTATTTTTAGTAGAGACGGGGTTTCACTATGTTGACCGGGATGGTCTCGATCTCTTGACCTCGTGATCCACCCGCCTCGGCCTCCCAAAGTGCTGGGATTACAGGCTTGAGCCACCGCGCCCGGCCTTTTCTTTTCTTTTTAGTTGACATGTAATAATTGTACATATTTATGGGGTATACAGTGATATTTCCATATATGTAAATAATGTATAATGATCAAATAAGAGTAATTAACACATTCCACCTCAAACATATGTCATATTTTTGTGTTGTGAACATTGAAAATCCCCTCTTCTAGCTTTTTGAAAATATACAATAGGGTTGGGTGTGGTGGTTCATGGCTGTAATCCCAGCACTTTGGAAGCCAAGGTAAGAGGATTGCTTGAGCCAAGGAGTTTGAGACCAGTCTGGGCAACAAAGTGAGACCCCCATCTCTACAAAAAAAATTTTTAAAGTAGCCAGGCATGGTAGCCTATGGTCCCACCTACTTGGGAGGTTGAGGCAGGAGGAGCCCTTGAACCCAGGAGGTTGAGGCTGCAGTGAGAAAATATACAACAAATATAGTTAACTGTATTCAACCTACAGTGATTCAGAATACCAGAACTTGTTCCTCCAGTGTAGCTGTAATTTTGGAATTGCAACCTTCTTTAGCCATTTCACTGAGTGTTGGCAACATAGATTAAGATGCTCTGTGTTCACGTGATTGGTTTTGGGTGTATAACAAGTATAACAGGTGAAGGAGTCTGTGACATTGAAGAGCTATCCTTTCTGCACCTGCAAAGCTCTCTTTCAGGTTTTTGGTTTTGATGTTTTTCGTATCCATTATATGTTAGTGGACCTTTTTGTTAAAGGTTGTACAGATTACATGGGAATAAATATGAAGTTTGTGATAATTAAAACACATACTATTTTATTGAGATAGGGTCTTACCCTGTTTCCCAGGCTGGAGTACAATGGCACAATCATGGCTTGCTGAAGCCTTAGACTCCTGGACTCAAGCGATCCTTCTGCCTCAGCCTCTCAAGTAGTTGGAACTACAGGCATGCCCCACCCCCTCACCCTGCTCCCTTCTCCCTAATTTTTAAATTGTTTGTAGAGATGGGGTTTTGTTTCACCATTTTGCCCAGTTTCATGTTCTCTTGGTGTCAAGCAGTCCAGCCAGTCCTGGGACTATAGGTGTGACCACCACACCTAGCTCACATGTTATTTTATATTAAAGTTTCTAAAATAAGTTTTTATTAAATGTTTTTTCTTATTTCAGGAAAAACTGGAAGGTTGGTTAGTGTCTATTAAAATAGCTTTTGATAAGAAGGCTCAGAAGACCAATGTGTCCATGAACACTGACAATTTGATGAAGATTTTTACTATGGGACTAGACCTTACAAAACCATTTGAATACCTTCTTGCTACAGGGAATCTGCGTTCTAAAACAGGTGAAATTAAATAGATCGTTTTAGTTATGTTTTTAAAATTGTTTGCTTAATGTAGATTTGCTTGTCCCTAGAAGTTTCTTTTTAAAAGCAAACTAAAAAAAAAAATAGTTCATTTCTCACAACTATGACTTTGACAAATATCAGTCTGAAGGGCTTTAGACAAGGTGTCTGTGTAGCTAAAATTTAATTCAGATAACCAAATACATTCCGTCTGCCTCCTTCTCGGTAATGAAAGACCACTTAGACCTCTGAGGAAGGCTTACCTCTCAGGAATTCTGGATGGGTTACTGTACATTCCCATCTCTAAACCAGTTGCCTTGCCTCAGAGTGACCTGAGGGGCCAGGTGTGGTGGCTCATGCCTGTAATCCCAACACTTTGGGAGGCCAAGGTAGGAGGGTCCCTTGAGCCTAGGAGGTCAAGGCTGCAGTGAGCTATGATTGTACCACTGCACTCCATCCTGATGACAGAGCAAGACCTTGTCTCAACAAAAAAGAGAATGACCCTAGAAACTTTAAAAGTGGTAATTGGGAATCCAGAAATGTTTTTTTCTTTTCATTTTTGAGTCAGGGTCTCACTCTGTCACCCAGTCTAGAGTGCAATGGCAGGATCATGGCTCACTGCAGCCTTGAGCTCCTACGCTCAGGTGATCCTCCCACTTCAGCCCCATGAGTAGCTGTGACTACAGGCATAAGCCACCATACCTGGCTAATTTTTGTATTTTTTGTAGAGATGGGGTTTTGCTATGCTGCTGAGGCTGGTCTGAAACTCTCGAGCTCAGGTGAACTGCCCACCTCAGCCTCCTAAAGTGCTGGGATTATCGCTTGAGCCACTGTGCCCGGCCTGTTTTTTTTTTTTTTTTTTTTTTTTTTTAAACACATGTTACTGATGCTGATTCTTTCGTTGTCCTGCTCACTTGCTTGCGTATTTTCTGATCGTCTCAGATGAATTTAATTACTTGCTATTTTATTAACTCATTTAACGTTCTCCCACAAAGGAGGCTCAGAAGTAGTAGAGGAGTTAGGGAACTCATTGGGGCTTAAACAGTTTGTGAAATCTGTGGATTATTTTACGTATTTTTTTTTTTTTGTGAACTCTTTCCACTCATCAGAGCTAGGAGAATAAATGTAATAACTCATTCTGTGATCTGTAGAATGCTCTGAGGTTTTGTCATCATAAAGCCTCAAAAATTTCCGTCTTTTAAAAGTTCGGCCCATTTTTTAGTGACTTTTGTTTTATTAAGGTCTTGGCCTCCTTCAAGAATCTGGACTTTGTGTCGTGGCTGACAAGCTGAACTTCATACGCTATCTCTCCCATTTCCGCTGCGTGCACAGAGGGTCTGATTTTGCCAAGATGAGGACCACCACAGTACGCCGACTGCTGCCAGAGTCTTGGGGCTTCCTTTGTCCGGTGCACACCCCAGATGGGGAGCCCTGTGGCCTGATGAACCACCTAACTGCCGTATGTGAGGTTGTCACACAGTTTGTATATACGACATCCATTCCAGCTTTACTCTGCAACTTGGGTATGTAGTGTACAGTGATAAACATCTTATATTTGGTTATGTGGTTTTTAACTGTTAAGTTGTGCAGCTTTTGGAGATTCAGCAGAGACTTTAAGAATTCTTTTGGGGCTGGGCGCAGTGGCTCAAGCCTGTAATCCCAGCACTTTGGGAGGCCGAGGCGGGTGGATCACGAGGTTGAGAGATCGAGACCATCCTGGTCAACATGGTGAAACCCCGTCTCTACTAAAAATACAAAAAACTAGCTGGGCATGGTGGCTCATGCCTGTAATCCCAGCTACTCAGGAGGCTGAGGCAGGAGAATTGCCTGAACCCAGGAGGCGGAGGTTGCGGTGAGCCGAGATTGCGCCATTGCACTCCAGCCTGGGTAACAAGAGCGAAACTCCGTCTCAAAAAAAAAAAAAGAATTCTTTTTGGCCGGGCGCGGTGGCTCAAGCCTGTAATCCCAGCACTTTGGGAGGCCGAGGCGGGTGGATCACGAGGTCAAGAGATCGAGACCATCCTGGTCAACATGGTGAAACCCCGTCTCTACTAAATATACAAAAAATTAGCTGGGCATGGTGGTGCGTGCCTGTAATCCCAGCTACTCAGGAGGCTGAGGCAGGAGAATTGCCTGAACCCAGGAGGCGGAGGTTGCAGGTGAGCCGAGATCGCGCCATTGCACTCCGGCCTGGGTAACGAGCGAAACTCCATCTCAAAAAAAAAAAGAATTCTTTTTTACTCTTCTGTGTAGGAGTTGGGCTGCTTTCTTGGATCCTCTATAGAAGGCTCAATGTGTTCTTTGAAAGTGAAAACAGGAGAAACTAAGTGTTATAGGTCTGGGGTGTTTTCTTTCAGCAACAACAAAAAAGATAATGGAAGTGAGGATCACTTGAGTCCAGGGGTTCGAGGCTGCAGTGAGCTGTGATTCTGCTGCCACTGCACTTCAGCCTGGGTGACAAAGTGAGACCCTGTCTCCAAAATAAAAAATAAATGAGGCTAGATGCGGTGGTTCGTACCTATAATCCCAGCACTTTGGGAGGCTGAGGTGGGTGGATCATGAAGTCAGGAATTCAAGACCAGCCTGGCCAAGATGGTGAAACTCCATCTCTACTAAAAATATAAAAATTAGCTGGGCATGGTGATGGACACCTGTAAACCGAGCTGCTCGGGAGGCTGAGGCAGAGAATTGGCTTGAACCCGGGAGGCAGAGGTTGCAGTGAGCTGAGATCACGCCACTGCACTCCAGCCTGGGCAACAGAGCGAGACTCCATCTTAAAAAAAAAAAAAAAAAAAAAAAGATCAATAAGAATGATGCCAAAGTGTTTGAAAAAGACTTGTTAATGTTGGAAGTATAGAAGCTATTGAGTAGTTTTTTGGGTCATTCTCCTTGCGTCTCGTGTTGGATCTTTGCATTTCTTTTTTTTTTTTTTTGAGACGGAGTTTCGCTCTTGTTACCCAGGCTGGAGTGCAATGGCGCGATCTCGGCTCACCGCAACCTCTGCCTCCTGGGTTCAGGCAATTCTCCTGCCTCAGCCTCCTGAGTAGCTGGGATTACAGGCACGCGCCACCATGCCCAGCTAATTTTTAGTATTTTTAGTAGAGACGGGGTTTCACCATGTTGACCAGGATGGTCTCGATCTCTTGACCTCGTGATCTGCCCGCCTCAGCCTCCCAAAGTGCTGGGATTACAGGCTTGAGCCACCGCGCCCAGCCAGATCTTTGCATTTCTAAGTAGAAAACAGTGTTGGTTTGCAGGAGTACAGTTTAAAAGGAGGTTTTCCAGTCTACCCTGATGTCATCAGATACATAACCTTTTTTCCTGATAACCTTATAGCTGTTGTCTCTGTCTCTGCTTTGGCTAGAAAGCTATCTAATCCTTGACCTGATGCTTGATTTGAATTTACCTTCATACTTAAAGATGTCAGCCTTCTCTGCAGTCTTCTAGTCCCAGGCTTCTTCATTTGTGATTTAGAGACTAGAAATGTTCTGTCTTCGGTGATCTGTGGACAGGGTCTCCAATGGGAGTAATATTTATGCAGTAAAACTTCCAGTTCAGGTGGATCAGGTGATAGGTATTGTCAAGCAACTAGAAGGGCATTGACTCAAAGTTCTGCTTTAAAAGTATGCTTCCAGTTAGAGGCCGGGCGCGGTGGCTCAAGCCTGTAATCCCAGCACTTTGGGAGGCCGAGGCAGGTGGATCACAAGGTCGAAAGATCGAGACCAACCTGGTCAACATGGTGAAACCCCGTCTCTACTAAAAATACAAAAAATTAGCTGGGCATGGTGGCGTGTGCCTATAATCCCAGCTACTCAGGAGGCTGAGGCAGGAGAATTGCCTGAACCCAGGAGACGGAGGTTGCGGTGAGCCGAGATCGCGCCATTGCACTCCAGCCTGGGTAACAAGAGCGAAACTCCGTCTCAAAAAAAAAAAAAAAAAGTATGCTTCCAGTTAGAGTGGCCTGACCAGGTGTGGTGGCTCACACCTGTAATCCCAACACTTTGGGAGATCAAGGTGGGCAGATCATTTGAGGTCAAATGTTTGAGATCAGCTTGGCCAACATGGCAAAACCCCATCGCTAGTAAAAATTCAGGCGTGAGGCTCCGTCCAAAAAAAAAAAAAAAAACAGCGAGAGTGGCCTGTAAGAAGAGGGCCCCACAGAAAGTAATCAAGAAATACTAAGGATTTAGAAGATGTAATCAGTATAATTTGAAGGATTATCCTCTGTGAGGAAAAGAATTTTGTTACTGGTAATTAAAAATGTCAAAGTCCAGGAGAGAGTAGAAAGGAGAAAAAAATAAAGTGGAGCAGTAGAAAATATATCCACCTGCAGAAAAAAGAGATGGGGAAGGGATTTTTGCCCTGGCGCTGGAGAAGAAGACAGAATTGCTACCTAACTTTTGATAGAGACGTTCACATTGGGAGGACAGATGAAACACAAAGTGGGTATCCTGAGACACTCTAACAAACACTTGATGTCTTCAGAATGCATTTATGGTTCATGGAAGAGTATTCCTTTTTTACTTAATTTCAGGTGATTCTCATTATTTGTAGTACTCATCATCTTTAAAGTCACTAGTGAATATTGAACCACTGTGCCTAGGGGAAGTACAGAGTTAGGTTCCTGAGAGCCTCTGGTTACATTTTTGTCAGCTGATCAGTATGTAGCCTTGTTTTATGTGTGTTTCTGTTGGAAGACACCCTTTGAAAATATATATTATTCATGTGGTAACATTGAATTCTCGACCAACAGTACTGTAACTATAAGCTTATCTAACACACATTTTTTTCTGTTATGCACATCACAGCCTTTTTGCATATGTAAATGCTATGCAATACTTCAGTGCTGCACTTGGAGGCAATTTTTTTTTTTTTTTTGGTAGAGATGAGGTCTTGCTATGTTATCCAGGCTGGTCTCAAACTCCTGGCCTCAAGCATTCCTTCTGCCTTGGCCTCCAAAAGTGCTGGGATTACAGGTGTGAGTCACCATGCCTGGCCTGGAGGCTATTATTAAAACAGTGAAGTTACACCAACAAAAAAAGCCCAAATGCTAAAAACGTGCCACTGATCAGACTGAGCAAAGGATGCTTATATACAGCATGAGCTGACAAGAAGGCATGGCATCGTCTTGTTTGACTTCAGCTATGGGGAGCATTCACATCAGGGGACTCAATTTTTTTTTGCTGCATGTCCTGGAATGACTTTGAAAGCATCCCTGGTATGAATTTTCTGGTTACAGATATAAGGTAGCAAGTAGGCAAATGTGCACAGCATCACATGCTACAGAGAAATCTTTCTTGGAAGGAAGGCTCAATTGGTGTTGTGAACTTCTTTGTTTTATTTTAAGAAATTGTCACCAGGCGCAATGGCTCACGCCTGTAATCCCAGCACTGTGGAATGCCGAGACAGGCAGATCAGCAGAGGATCAACTATAGGATCAACTGTAATTACATTTTGGGGGTTAATGCATTTAATACCTTTACATGGCTTAGAAATCAAAATATTAAAAAGACATGCAGTGAGATGCTCCCTCCCTTAGGCCCCTGTCCCCTTACTACTCTGCTAAGGACAGAGTTGCTAGTTTCCCGTGTGTCCTTGCTGAAGTGATTTAAACTTCAGCAAATCCTTCAGGCTTTCCCCAGAAATACTGCAGGTTTGGTTCCAGAGCACTGCAATAAAGTGAGTCACATGAATATCTGTTTGCCAGTGCATATAAAAGTTATGGCTTGTGACAATTTCTTTTTTTTTTTTTTACTTTTTTTGGGATGGAATTTCACTCTTGTTGCCGAGGCTAGAGTGCAATGGCATGATCCCAGTTCACGGCAACCTCCGCCTCCCGGGTTCAAGCAATTCTCCTGCCTCAGCCTCCCGAGTAGCTTGGATTACAGGAACCGGCATCTCACCCAGCTAATTTTTTATATTTTTAGTAGAGATGGGGTTTCAACATGTTGGCCAGGCTGGTCTGGAACTCCTAACCTCTGGTGATCCACCTGCCTTGGCTTTCCAAAGTACTGAGATTACAGGCGTGAGCCACTGTGCCTGGTGACAATTTCTTAAAATAAAACAAAGAAGTTTGCCACACTAATTGAGTCTTCCTTTCACAAAAGATTTCTCTGTAGCATGTGATGCTGTTTGATAGCATTTTACCCACAGAAGAGACTATTTCCAAGTTGCAGTGAGTCCCCTCAAACCCTGCCTCTGTTTTATCAACTAAGTTTATGGAATAACCTAAATCCTTTTTAAACAAATTTTTTTAAATTTTGTGCCCCTCCCCCATCACCAGTCTGAATCCTTCATTGTCATTTCAACAGTGTTCACAGCATCTTCTCATTTCTTGAGATCCCATCTCAGGAAACCATTTTCTGCTGGGTGCAGTGGCTCAGGCCTGTAATTCCAGCACTTTGGGAGGCCAAGATGAGAGGATTGCTTGAGCCCAGGAGTTCAAGACCAGCCTAGGCAACATAGGAAGACACTGTCTCTACAAAAAATAAAAATAAAAAATTAGCCAAGCGTGGTGGTACGCACCTGCCAGCTACTCAGGAGGCTGAGGTGGGAGGACTGCTTGAGCCCAGGAGCTTGAGGTTGCAGTGAGCTATGATCATGCTACTGCACTGCAGGCTGAACAACAGAGGAAGACCTTGTCTCAAAAACAGAACAACAATTAAAAAAAAACATTTTCTTTGTTTATTCTATAAGAAACAATTACTCACCTGTTGAGTTTGGTTATGGGATTTCAGCAATTCAGTCACAGCTTTAGGCTCTACTTCTAATTCTAGTTGTCTTGCTATTTCTTTCTTTTTTTTTTTTGAGATGGAGTTTTGCTGTTGTTACCCAGGCTTGAGTGCAATGGCGCGATTTCGACTCACCACAACCTCCACCTCCCAGGTTCAGGCAATTCTCCTGCCTCAGCCTCCTGAGTAGCTGGGATTACAGGCACGTGCCACCATGCCCAGCTAATTTTTTGTATTTTTGGTAGAGACGGGGTTTTACCATGTTGGCCAGGATGGTCTCGATTTGTTGACCTCATGATCTGCCCGCCTCGGCCTCCCAAAGTGCTGGGATTACAGGTGTGAGCCACCGTGCCCAGCCATTTTTTGTGTTTTTAATAAAGATGGGGTTTCACCCTGTTGGCCAGGATGATCTCAATCTCTTGACCTCATAATCCGCCTGCCTCAGCCTTCCAAAGTGCTGAGATTACAGACGTGAGCCACCGCATCTGGTCTTGTCTTGATATTTCTACCACAAATACAGTAGTAACATCAGAGATCATTAATCACAGATCACCATTACAGGTATAATAATAATAAAAATAGTTGAAATACTGCAAGAATTACCAAAATGCCAACACAAAGAAACAAAGGGAACACATGCTGTTGGAAAAATGGCATTGATAAGCCCGCTTTAGATATCTTTGAAGTGCGATTAAAATTTTAGAGACAAGGATAATTTGATATCTGAACTGATCCAGCAGCTGTTGACCCCATCTGGAGGGAATCTGGAATGTTGGATAAAGCATTCTAATGTGATTGTGCTGTTTGTTCCCTTTACCAGGGGTCACTCCTGTTGATGGAGCTCCCCACCGACCGTACAGTGAGTGCTACCCTGTCCTGCTGGACGGCGTCATGGTTGGCTGGGTGGATAAGGAACTTGCTTCAGGCATCGCAGATTCTCTTCGTCATTTTAAGGTGGGCTTGAGCTTTGTGAATTGTCCTATCCCTTGACCTTAGATTTTCAGTTCTTTTCTAGTTTTGGGGTTAACCCTTGGGCAGTCTAGAGTGATCAGGTGGTCAGAGGTCAGAATGTCCAAAATGCCTATGCATTCCCTCTGGTAACAGAGGCTTGCCTTATACTGGTTTCATTGGTTGGGGTCAGTGACAGATATTTTACCCATATACATTCTTTGGTAGTTTCATTGAGGCACCCCAATCTGCTTATCTAACTAATTTTAACCTTTTTTCTCCTTTTTAATACTAGTGGCATCTGAGGGATCTCAAATACAGATATTTCCATAGTATTCAAAATATGCAAGGTAGAAGTTACACTCCATTGCCTCCTAGGTTTTGAAAATATATGTTTAAAAAGTAGACTGACATTCTTTGAATAACTTGTCTTTGGGATTTCCTCCTAGTGACAAGTATTTATTGCTTTGATAATGGCCATTGAAAGAATTGTCCTTTGGCAACATGATGGGTTTGTGGTTTATTTGCTGTTCTGTGTTATTTTTAAAAAATGTTTAAGCTAAATTTTATTTTATTTTATTTTATTTGAGACGGAGTTTCGCTCTTGTTACCCAGGCTGGAGTGCAATGGCGCGATCTCAGCTCACCGCAACCTCTGCCTCCTGGGTTCAGGCAACTCTCCTGCCTCAGCCTCCCGAGCAGCTGGGATTACAGACATGCGCCACCATGCCCAGCTAATTTTTTGTATCCTTAGTAGAGACGGGATTTCACCATGTTGACCAGGATGGTCTCGATCTCTTGACCTCGTGATCTACCTGCCTCGGCCTCCCAAAGTGCTGGGATTACAGGCTTGAGCCACTGCGCCCGGCTAAGCTAAATTTTAGTTTTAGTTTCAGTGCTCTGTTGGTCACTTGGGTCATTTCTACCTTTTGGTCATTGCAAATAACACTGCTGTGAACATGAGTGTACAAATATCTATTTAAGTCCTCGTGTTTTTAATTCTTTTGAGTATATTCTTAGAATTGGAACTCTGTGGCTCATTTGATAGAATTTTACACTTAGAGCAAAGATGTTTGATCGGTACATGGGACCCTCCTGTATACACATTACCCAAATCCACCAGTTACTATGCTTTGCCCCACATGCTTTATCTTCTGTATGCTCTTTATAATTTTTTTCTTTTGAGCCATCTGAGAGCAGTATTCAGACATTGTCCCATTTTCCATAAAGATTTTAGTGTATTTTTTCTAAGAACAAGGACTTTCTCTTCAGTAACCACAGTACATTTCTGAAAATCAGAGAAGGTCATGTGGGTGGGATCCATAGTTGATACTCAAATTCCACCAGTTGTCTCAGTAATATTCTCTTTTTTCTTTTCTTTTTTTTTTTTTTTTTTTTTAAGAGATGGGTCTCATTCTGTTGCCTAGGCTAGAGTGCAGTGGCACAATCACAGTTCACTGCAGTCTTGATGTCCCAGGCTTAAGTGATCCTCCTACTTCAGGCTGCCAAGCTGCCTGACCACAGGACTGCACTACCATGCCTGGCCACTCTGGCAACTCCCTGACCCAGTCCTTTGGGTTGTTATGGAGCCTTTATTACGTAGGACGACTGATGGAATTGTTGGCCATTGGTGATTAGCTTAACCTCCAGCCCCTATCCCCTTCATGGAGGTTGAAGGTAAGGCTAAAAGTCCCAGTCCTCTAATCCTGGCTTGGTCTTTCTAGTGACCAATCCTATCCTGAAGCCACCTAGATGCTGCCAACCACCAGTCTTTTGTTTTAATTTTTTGAGTCAGAGTCTTGTGGTTCAGTTTCCTGAGTAGCTGAGACTACAGGTTCGTACCGCCATGTCTGGCTAATTTTTTGTATACTTAGTATAGGTGGGGTTTCACCGTCTGGGACAGACTGGTCTCCTGACCTCAAGCAATCCGTCTGGTTCAAGTGATTTTTGTGCATCTGAATAGCATGCAAAAAGACATCACTTTGGAAAGTGTAAGGATTTTAGGAATTGTATGCCAGGAAACAGGGTGGAAGACCAAATCGATATTTCACAATATTACAGCTCTCCTGTAATTTAGGTTTATGTTTTGCTTCCTCATGATGAGATTCACATTCTCATTTTCAGGAAGCACATGATGTTGATTTGTCCCATTACGGGTCATGTTAACTGATCCCTTCAAGGTTGTGTTCTTTAGGTTAATTCACATAGTTTCTGTTTTCTCTGTAATAAGTAACTTGTGGAGAGATAGTTGAAAGCTATGTGGAGCCCCTTTTCTTCACATTTTCACCCAGTAGTTGATGAATTATTTGCTGAGTTACTATTCCGTTGGTGGTTCTTTGATGAGTTAATATTACTGTGATGGTTACCACATGGTGTTTTCCCCCACCATCATTTGTTCTATCTTTATTAGTTGCTATTCTGTAGAGAGGGCTTTCTTTTCTATTAGTTATTCATTTATTTATGTTACCACAGATTTATAGATGCTTGTTTAATTTTGAGTATTGTTACTACTTATTTTGATGCTCAGAGAGTATGAGATTTGATCAAGTGTATAGTTCAGTCATATTAAGTACATTCATGTTATTGTGCAGTCATCACCATCTTCAGAACTTTCTCACTGTTACAAATGGAGACTCTGTACCCAATCAACAATCATTCAATCATTCCTTTTTTTTTTTTTTTTTTTTTGAGGCGGAGTATTGTTCTGTCGCCCAGGCTGGAGTGTAGTGGTATGATCTTGGCTCACTGTAGCTTCTGCCTCCCGGGTTCAAGTGATTCTCCTGCCTCAGCCTCCCAAGTAGCTGGGATTACAGGTGCACACCACCATGCCGGGGTAATTTTTGTATTTTTAGTAGAGACGAGGTTTCTCCACATCGTTCCCGCTGGTCTCGAACTCCTGACCTCAAATGATCTGCCTGCCTCATCAGTCTGATTTTATCTTTGTTATAATTTGTGCTGTCTTTTGGTTTACCTTATTCTTTTTTAGCTTTTGCTTAAATAATTTATTTTCATTCTTCTTTTTTTGGTTAGCATTGTGGAGGGTAGAGGGATGAGGACACTTGAGATCTGCTTTTAAATTTCAGGTATGCAATATATTATTCTTAACTATAGTCACAAGCTATACATGAGATCTCCAGAAACTTAATTCTGTTGCATAACTGAAGCTTTATACCCTTTGACCAGTATCTCCCTGTGTCCCCCTCCACCAAACATCTTCTTTTTAATGATAATACATTTAGCCGTGAATTCCCATGAGTTCTGACACATGGTTTTTGTAATTTAGGTTTTTATTTCTCCTTTCACCCAGGAGTTCGTTGGAGTTTTTTTGTTTTGTGTTTGAGACAGGGTCTCACTCTGTCCTGTCACCCAGGCTGGAGTGCAGTGATGTGATCTTGGCTCACTGCAGCCTTAACCTCCTGGGCTCAAGTGCTTCTCCCACCTCAGCCTCCCGGGTAGCTGGGACCACAGGCATGCACCACCACACTCAGCTAATTTTTTAATTTTTTGTAGAGCTGGGGTTTTGCTACGTTGCCCAGGCTGGTCTTGAACTTACCGGCTCAAGTGATCCATCTCAGCCTCCCAAAGTGCTGGGATTACACCATCCCCAGCCCACTCATGAGTTTTTGGTTTATTACATTTAAAAATAAAGCCAATAATCTACTATATTTTAGATCACAAAGGACAGAATTTCCTTTAGTGTGTCTAGACGTGCATTCATGGTGTACCTTATCCTTAGCCTCAGTAGTTAGTGATTTGCCTGCTAGCCAGGCTGAGCACTCAAGGAAGCAGGGCTTTTACCATGTCCGATTGTAGATGAGTGGCATTCCATGGGGCATAAGACTGGCAGCAACAGCCATGACTCTGAGATGCTAGGTTTGTTAAACTCTGTTTTTGTTGAAAACAGGTATTGAGAGAGAAAAGAATTCCTCCCTGGATGGAAGTGGTCCTTATACCCATGACAGGAAAACCAAGTCTGTACCCAGGATTGTTCCTTTTTACCACTCCTTGTAGACTGGTACGGCCTGTGCAGAACTTGGAATTGGGCAAAGAAGAACTAATTGGAACTATGGAACAGGTAAATATATATGTGTGATGGAGGAGTGTATGTGCTTATTTGTATAGTACATAACTTTCAGAGACTTAACTCTTCCTTTTTAAAAGGATTGTTAGTGTTAACAATGACAGTTGGACATTGAAAAGAAAGTCAGACTTTCTACCACCTCTGTGACCAGGCACAAAGCAGTTTCCATGTCTGATCTCACTCTGTGGAACCTGAGAGGGCTGGTGGTCACATTTCCTGCCTCCTACCCTGTCTAGCTCCCAGAGCTCTTTAGAACCTGGCTCTGCCTCAGCTGGTGAGGTGAGAACATTCCATTAGATCAGGCATCCCCAAACTATGGCCCGCGGGCCGCATGCGGCCCCCTGAGGCCATTTATCCGGTCCCGCGCCGTACTTCAGGAAGGGGCACCTCTTTCACTGGTGGTCAGTGAGAGGAGCACAGTATGTGGTGGCCCTCCAACGGTCTGAGGGACAGTGAACTGGCCCCCTGTGTAAAAAGTTTGGGGACGCCTGCATTAGATTCACACTCAGTCTTTGCCTGCATATTTGCAATTGCAAAATTATAGGCTTTTTGCTCCTTAAAAATTATTCTTCCTGTTTCCCTTCACAATTAGTCTGGGGTAGATTTAGAGTGAAATATGTAAAGCAAGTGGTATTTCTAACTGGATGCTTCTCTGTGCTTCCCAGTTGACCCATTCAGCACTCATGATGTTGGGTGGGGAAGGTTTTCTTTTGAGTCTTTGAGTATCGAACTCTGAGAAAGGTAAGAGTTAATGTGTAAACAGTCGCAGTTATTTTGTGCCTTGGACATCCACTCTCCCAGATCTTCATGAATGTCGCTATCTATGAGGATGAAGTTTTTGCTGGAGTTACCACACACCAGGAACTCTTTCCACACAGCCTGCTGAGCGTGATCGCCAACTTCATCCCTTTCTCTGATCACAACCAGAGTCCACGGAACATGTACCAGTGCCAGATGGGTAAGGAAGAGGGAGGATGGTGTAGTCAATCAGGAAAGGAAACTTGATACTAGCATACTGTTGCATAGTCCTTATTTATATATGTTGACTAAGTTCCAAAAATATGGTTTATGACAACTTTTATTTTTTCTGTGCCACAAGCAACCAGCCCAGAATCACTCATTGTATTTAGTTGGCATGTCTATTTAGTTTCCTGTAATTTATGACAGATCTTTAAACTTTGTCTTTGACATTGATTTTTTTTTTTTAGACGGAGTTTCGCTCTTTTTACCCGGGCTGGAGTGCAATGGCGCGATCTCGGCTCACCGCAACCTCCGCCTCCTGGGTTCAAGCAATTCTCCTGCCTCAGCCTCCTGAGTAGCTGGGATTACAGGCACACGCCACCATGCCCAGCTAATTTTTTTGTATTTTTAGTAGAGACGGGGTTTCACCATGTTGACCAGGATGGTCTTGATCTCTTGACCTCGTGATCCACCCGCCTCGGCCTCCCAAAGTGCTGGGATTACAGGCTTGAGCCACCGCGCCCGGCGCCTAAAGTTTTCTTTATGTAGTCCTAATTAGAGTTTGCAGTTCTTTTCCAATTTGTCTTCTGTTTCTTTCTCTTTCTCTTTCTTTCTTTCCTTTCTTTTATTTCTTCTCTTTTTTTTTTTTTTTTTTTTTTTTTTTTGAGATAGAGTTTTGCTCTTGTTGCCCAGGCTGGAGTGCAGTGGCGCGATATTGGCTCACTGCAGCCTCAGCCTTCAGAGTAGCTGGGGATTACAAATGCCTGCCACCACACCTGGCTAATTTTTTGTATTTTTAGTAGAGATGGGGTTTCACTGTGTTGGCCAGGCTGGTCTCGAACTCCTGGCCTCAGGTGACCCACTAGCTTTGGCCTCCCAAAATGTTGGATTACAGGCATGAGCTATCTCTCCCAGCCTCAAATTTGTTTTTTTAAATTTAATTGCTAGTCTTCTGTCATTATTTCTAAAAACATTGCTATATGTTAACCCTTTTGATATTGTTCCATAGACATTACTCAATGTCAAGCCCTTAGGTGGGCTGCTTTGATCTATCCCATGCATGCATGTTCTCTTTTTTCCTTATTTTCTTCAGATTGGATCTTTTTTTTTTTTTTTTTTTGAGATGGAGTTTTGCTTTGTTGCCTAGGCTGGGGTGCAGTGGCGTTATCTCAGCTCACTGCAACCTCCGCCTCCTGCATTCAATAAATTCTCCTGCCTCAGCCTCCCGAGTAGCTGGGATTACAGGCACATACCACCATGCCTAGCTAATTTTTGTGATTTAGTAGGGACAGGGTTTCACCATTTTGTCCAGGCTTGCTTCGAACTCCTGATCTCAAGTGATCCACCTGCCTCAGCCTCCCATAATGCGGTGATTACAGGCATGAACCACTGCACTCAGCCCAGATTGGATCATTTTTATTGACCTGTTATTACAGTCACTTTTCATTGTGTCTTCTACCGAATTTTCACTTACAGTCGTGTGTTCTTAACAACAGGAATACATTCTGAGAAGTCATACGTGATTTTGTCGTAGTGTGAACATCGTAGAGTGAACTTACACAAATCTAGATGGCAGAGACTACTACACTGCTAGTATACGGTATAGCCCATTTCTCCTAGGCTACAAACCTGGCTGTCATGTAACTACTGTGCACTGTAGATAGTTGTAAGACAGTGGCAAGGATTTGTGTATCTAAATATAGAAAAAGAAAAATATATTAAAATGTAGGATCACCATAGTATATATGCCATCCTGCATTGACTAAAACATTGTTATGCAGTGAACGACTGTATTTTTCAAGTCCAGAACTTCTACTTGTTTCTTTTTCTTTTTCTTTTTTTTTTTTTTGTTTTGAGACAGGGTCTTGCTCTGTCACCCAGGCTGAAGTGCAGTAGCACAGTCTTGGCTCACTGCAACGTCTGCCTCCCTGGTTCAAGTGATTCTCCTGTCTCTGTCTCTGAGTAGCTGGGATTATAGGCATGTGCCACCATGCCCAGCCAATTTTTTTGTATTTTTAGTAGAGACAGGGTTTTATCATGTTGACCATGCTGGTCTCAAACTCCTGTCCTCAAGTGATCCAGCTGCCTTGGCCTTCCAAATTGCTGGGATTATAGGCATGAGCCATTGTGTCTGGCCTGACTTGTTTAAACGTTTCTTTTTCTTTTTATTTTTATTTTCTTTTTCTTTTTTTTTTTGAGATGGAGTTTCGCTCTTGTTGCCCAGGCTGGAGTGCAATTGCGCGTTTTCAGCTCACTGCAACCTCCGCCTCCTGAGTTCAAGTGATTCTCCTGCCTCATCCTCCCAAATAGCTGGGATTATAGGCATGTGCCACCAGGCCCAGCTAATTTTTTGTATTTTTATAGAGACAGGGTTTCACCATGTTGGCCCAGATGGTCTCGATCTCTTGACCTTGTGATCCACCTGTCTTGGCCTCCCAAAGTGCTGGGATTACAGGTGTGAGCCACCCCGCCCGGCCTTGTTTCTTTTTTTATAGTTTCTCTTTTCTCTAAGAATTCTTAATTCATTGTGGGCATGTTTTCCTTTATATTTTGAGCAAAATTATATGATGGGTGTTGTAAAATCATTATCTGTAAATTCCAATGTCTGGGTCATCTCAATATTGCTTTCCTTGAGTATAAGTCAAGTTTCACCATTTCTTTGTATGCCCAGTAACATTGGATTGTATTATGAACATTGTGAGGAATATGTTTTTGTTTTGTTTTTTTTTTTTGAGACGGAGTTTCGCTCTTGTTACCCAGGCTGGAGTGCAATGGCGCGATTTCGGCTCACCGCAACCTCCGCCTCCTGGGTTCAGGCAATTCTCCTGCCTCAGCCTCCTGAGTAGCTGGGATTACAGGTACGCACCACCATGCCCAGCTAGTTTTTTGTATTTTTAGTAGAGACGGGGTTTCACCTTGTTGACCAGGATGGTCTCGATCTCTCGACCTCGTGATCCACCCGCCTCGGCCTCCCAAAGTGCTGGGATTACAGGCTTGAGCCACCACGCCCGGCCGTGAGGAATATGTTTTAAACCTCGGATCTTGTTAGGGTCCTCTGAAGAGGATTGGTTTTGTTTTTATTGTGGCATTTGGCCTTCAATTACATTTTAATTTTTTTTGTTTTACGTCTTTTTAATATGCAGTCCATCACCTTGGTTCGGTGCATGTCACCAAAAATTCTCTAGGAGAAGAGGATTGGCTTTTAGTTTTAACTGGTAGTTAACTTGGTGAACATGGCAGTTGAACTACATTCTTCAGCCTTAGGTGGGCTGCTTTGATCTATCCGGTGCATGCAGAGTTCAGGAGTCTGCCAAAGATTTGGACCCAATTTATATGCTGAATTTAAGGGCCTCCCTTTGTGGTTCTCTCATTTCTGAAATGTTCCCCCTTCCCTTTATTGTCATGCTCAGAACTCTATTTCTTGGTTCTTTAAGCCAGTAAGACTGGGTTTGTAGCTAAGTTGTAGCTGGCACACTGGGCCATAAGGCAAAAATAAATCAATACATAAATATGAAAAACCTGGAAATTGATCCAGTGTGGTTCCTTTTGTCCAAGTAAAAATTCTTCCCAGCTTCTGGCAGCCTTTGGTTCCTGTCCCAAAGCTGTCAGAAGAGTAACCAAAAGTGCTGTATGTGTAGTTGGGGCCTTTTTCTACATCTTACACTTACATGTTGAGGGTGGTCTTGTAAGAGTAGCCCTTACTACTGGAAGCTATAAGTGTATATTTTTTTAAAAATTTAACTTGCACATATTTGAATTTTAAAATTATTTTATTCTGAAATGATGCTCTATACTGTGAGGTAGTACACAGAAGAATCTCACCCTATGCTCCACTACCTAGAATTAACAAATACATGTTCTGCTGTAAGAAAGTAATCTAATTACATAATAATTACAATTCCCTCTTCCTCCTGTAGTGATATCCTGTAATTTGTGTACTTCCTTTCTGTCCCCTTTTAAAGCTTTCATTATATCATACATGTATCCATAAACTAGGTATAGAATTGTGTGGAGTGTGTTGCCAATACACATAAATTGTATCGTATTAATTGTCATTCTGCACTTTCTCCCACTCAGCATGGTTTTTCTGGTCCGGTCACATTGATACATGCAGGTTTACTTCATTTTCACAGCTTATATATTTGTCTATAGTAAGCATAACTACCATGATTATTTATTTATTCATTCTCTGATGAATATTTAGTTGTTTCAGTGATATGTATCACACCTATAATCAAGATGGAAGAAGCAGAAAATGCTCAGATGTTTTTTTCTCCATGTAGGTAAGCAAACTATGGGCTTTCCACTTCTCACTTATCAAGACCGATCAGATAACAAACTGTATCGTCTTCAGACTCCTCAGAGTCCCTTGGTGAGACCCTCCATGTATGATTATTATGACATGGATAACTATCCAATTGGGACCAATGCCATTGTTGCTGTGATTTCTTACACTGGCTATGATATGGAAGATGCCATGGTAAGTTTTACCGGGAATGTTGTCCCAATCATTTTATTTTTTAACTTTTTTGTTTGCTGTGAAATCACTGAAGGAATATTTTTGTGTCCCCAAGTATCTAGTATATGACACACGATCAACGATGTGGAAAATGTGGGGAGAGTTTTAAAATGTGATGCCAGTTATTCTAAACTAAGTATTACAGTATTATAGTCCTACCTAGTTTTATTTTGAAAATCCTTACTTGGCCTCAGCGTTTTAAATTAACAATTCTTTTACTTCACAGATTGTGAATAAGGCCTCTTGGGAACGAGGCTTTGCCCATGGAAGTGTCTACAAGTCTGAGTTCATAGACCTCTCTGAAAAAATTAAACAAGGAGATAGTAGCCTGGTGTTTGGAATCAAACTTGGTGACCCACGGGTTTTGCAGAAGTTAGATGATGATGGACTGCCGTTTATAGGAGCAAAACTGCAGTATGGAGATCCGTATTACAGCTACCTAAACCTCAACACCGGGGAAAGTTTTGTGATGTACTATAAGTAAGTTTGGTTGTCCAAGCTGGTTTGTTTTGTTATTGTTGTTGTTGTTGTTGTTTTGAGATGGGGTCTCACTCTCAGCCAGGCTAGAGTGCAGTGGAGTGATCTCAGCTCACTACAACCTTCACCTCCTGGGCTAAGTAGTCCTCTTGCCTCAGCCTTCGAGTAGCTGGAACTATAGGCACAAAATATCATGCCCAGCCAATTTTTTGTATTTTTAATAGAGTTGGTTTTGCCTTGTTGCCCAGGCTGGTCTCAAACTCCTGAGCTTAAGTGATCCACCTGCCTCAGCCTCCCAGTGTGCTCGGATTACAGATGTGAGCCACTGTGCCGGCCGATTTGTGCTTTTTTTAAAAAACTGTATTATCCAAACTTTCATCTTTTTCATATACAATGTTAGGAATGTGTCCTAGCCAAAATGTTGAGCCCTTATTGGAAATGTCTTCTTTTAGTTTCATTTACAATATAGTTCATTTCAATAGGCCTTCATAATAATTTTTCAGTTGCCTTCGTTGGTAGTTTTCTTTCAGATGAACATAATTCTGTAGTGAATATCACTAGTAGCTCTATTCATACCAACTGTTTGTTGCAGAGTAAAGGTAAGAATGAGTTTTGCAGGCTAGGCACAGTAGTTCACACCTGCAATCCCAACACTTTGGGAGTATCCCTTAAGCCCAGGAGTTCAAGATCAACCTGGGCAATGTAGTAGGACCCTACGTCTACAAAAAAAATTTTAAATTTAGCTAGGCCTAGTGGCGTGTACCTGTAGTCCCAGCTGCTCAGGCAGTTGAGCTGGGAAAGTCAAGGCTGCAGTGAGCTGTAATCACACCACTGCACTCCACTCTGGGCAACAGACTGAAACCCTGTTCCCTGCCCCCCCACCCCCCGCAAAATGTATTTTACAAATATCCTTTATGAAGCACTAATAATATCAATGAAACTTATCTCTGTAAGTTCAAACAAATAAGGTTGATCTTACACGGTTTATTTTTTCCTAGGAGTAAAGAAAATTGCGTTGTGGATAACATCAAAGTGTGCAGTAATGACACTGGGAGTGGAAAATTCAAGTGTGTTTGCATCACTATGAGAGTGCCTCGGAACCCAACTATTGGAGATAAATTTGCCAGTCGTCATGGGCAGAAGGGCATTTTGAGCAGATTGTGGCCTGTTGAGGACATGCCTTTTACTGAGAGTGGGATGGTCCCAGACATTCTGTTCAATCCCCATGGTTTTCCATCCCGCATGACCATTGGGATGTTAATTGAGAGTATGGCTGGGAAGTCTGCAGCTTTGCATGGTCTCTGCCATGATGCTACACCCTTCATCTTCTCAGAGGAGAACTCAGCCTTAGAATACTTTGGTGAGATGTTAAAAGCTGCTGGCTACAATTTCTATGGCACCGAGAGGTTATATAGTGGCATCAGTGGGCTAGAACTGGAAGCAGACATCTTCATAGGAGTGGTTTATTATCAGCGCTTACGCCACATGGTCTCAGACAAGTTTCAAGTAAGGACAACTGGAGCCCGCGACAGAGTCACCAACCAGCCTATTGGTGGAAGAAATGTCCAGGGTGGAATCCGTTTTGGGGAGATGGAACGGGATGCGCTTTTAGCTCATGGTACATCTTTTCTCCTTCATGACCGCCTCTTCAACTGCTCGGATCGGTCGGTAGCCCACGTGTGTGTGAAGTGTGGCAGTTTACTCTCTCCACTGTTGGAGAAGCCACCCCCTTCTTGGTCTGCCATGCGCAATAGAAAATACAACTGTACTCTGTGTCATCGCAGTGACACTATCGATACTGTTTCTGTGCCTTATGTTTTTCGGTATTTTGTAGCTGAACTGGCAGCTATGAACATCAAAGTGAAACTGGATGTTGTTTAACTTGATGTTGGCCTTTTGGATTAGGAGACCTATCAGATTAAAGCAAAATGTAATTTTAGTTCAATGAAGATACTATTACTAGGTTGCTCTTGAGATTTTTCAAAGGTATTAGAACTCTCAACCAAGACCTGAAAACCAAGAATGCAAGGTTTCTGAATCTCTGGTAGATTAACTATTGACAATGGTTTTCTGTATATTCAAAAATTTCATGTGTCTTCCTAAAATAGGAAATATTTAGTCCTGGTGCGGTGACTTAAACCTGTAATTCCAGCACTTTGGGAGGCAGAGGCAGGTGGATCACGAGGTCACGAATTTGAGACCAGCCTGGCCAAGATGGTGAAACCCTGCCTCTACTAAAAATATAAAAATTAGTCAGGTGCGGTGGCGGGTGCCTGTAATCTCAGCTACTGGGGAGGCTAAGGAAGGAGAATTGCTTGAACCCAGGAGGTGGAGGTTGCAGTGAGCCAAGATGGCGCCACTGTACTCCAGCCTGGCCTACAGAGTGAGACTCCATCTTAAAAAAAAAAAAGAAATATTGGCTGAGTGCAGTGGCTCAAGCCTGTAATCCCAGCACTTTGGGAGGCCGAGGTGGGCGGATCACAAGGTCAAGAGATCGAGACCATCCTGGTCAACATGGTGAAACCCCGTCTCTACTAAAAATACTAAAAATTAGCTGGGCATGGTGGCACATGCCTGTAATCCCAGCTACTCAGGAGGCTGAGGCAGGAGAATTGCCTGAACCCGGGAGGCAGAGGTTGCGGTGAGCCGAGATCGCGCCATTGCACTCCAGCCTGGGTAACAAGAGCGAAACTCCGTCTCAAAAAAAAAAAAAAAAGAAAGAAATATTGATAAATGGAAGAGCATACATATAGTGACAAGTCTCCTTTCCAATCCCACGTTTCCTACACCCTGTTCTCAGCAGGCAGTAACTTTCACACACCTGTTAGTCCATTTTGAGCAGGACAGTACTATACAAATAGAATGCAAGCTGTAATATAATGTAGTTTTATATTTTCTTATAGCCACATTGAAATAAAAATAAACAGGTACAGTGTTCTTTTGACCAGCTTTGTAGACCTACAGTTGTTACATATTTAATGTATACAATTTGATGGGTTTGACTGTATGCACACACCTTTGATACCATCACCACAATCAGGGTAGTAAACATATCTGTCATCTTCACGAATTTGCTCCTACCCCTTTGTTTTTTGCTTTTTGGTTGCTGCTGGATTTTTTTTTTCCTGTGATAAGAATACAACTCAAGACCTACCCTCTTAAATCTTTAAGTGTTCAATAAGTTATTGTTAATTATAGGCACCATGTTGTACAACAGCTCTTTAGACCTTGTCTTTTTTTTTTTTTGAGACAGAGTTTCGCTGTTGTTACCCAGGCTGGAGTGCAATGGCGCGATCTCGGCTCACCGCAACCTCTGCCTCCTGGGTTCAGGCAATTCTCCTGCCTCAACCCCCTAAGTAGCTGGGATTACAGGCACACGCCACCATGCCCAGCTAATTTTTAGTATTTTTAGTAGAGACGGGGTTTCACCATGTTGACCAGGATGGTCTCAATCTCTTGACCTCGCGATCCACCCGCCTCGGCCTCCCGAAGTGCTGGGATTACAGGCTTGAGCCACCACGCCCGGCCTAGACCTTACTTGTCTTATGTAACTGAAGCTTTATGTCTGTTGAACAACTCTCCCATTTCCCTGGCCCCTAGCAAGGACTCTTCTACTCTGTTTTTCTTTTCTTTCTTTCTTTCTTTCTTTTCTTTTTTTTTTTTTTGCATTTGTTTCTATGAGTTGGACTATTATAGATATCTCATATAGTGGGATCATGCAGTATTTGTCCTGTGACTGGCTTATTTCACTTAGCATAGTGAAATAAGATTCATCCATTTTGGAAGCCAGACATGGTGCTCTGCATCTGTAGTCCCTGCTCTTTGGGAGGCTGAGGTGGGAGGATCATTTGAGTGCAGGAGTTCAAGGCCAGCCTGTGTAATATAGGAAGACCCTGTCTTAAAGACCCTGACCTCAAGTGATCCACCTGCCTCGGCCTCCCAAAGTGCTGGGATTACAGGTATGAACCACTGCGCCCAGCCTCCAGTGAGTATTTTTATATTTAGTCTATACTTCTACACTTGGTTTTTTTCTGCATTTATATTGACTTGCTTTCATAGCAGTGTGTAGAGTGCTGGTTACGTTTTCTTTTTTGTGTACAGTATTTTATTGTATGGATATACCATCCCCTGTGTATTTGAGTTGTTCCATTCTTTGGCCATTATAATTGTTTCTGCAGATACTCTGGTGACTTACCTTTGGCCATTGTAAACAGTGTTGATATTAGATCATCTTGTTTATACTTGTGCAATTGTAAGATGCTTTTTGGGCCGGACGAAGTGACTCATGCCTGTAATCCCAGCACTTTGGGAGGCCGAGGCAGGTGGATCACCTCAGGTCAGGTGTTCGAGACCAGCTTGGGTGCCTGTAATCCCAGCTACTCAGGAGGCTGTGGCAGGAGAATCTCTTGAAACTGGGAGGTGGAAGTTGCAGTGAGCTGAGATGGCACCACTGCACTTCAGCTTGGGTGACAAAGAGCAAGACTCCATCTCAAAAAAAAAGAAAAAAAAAATGCTTTGATGACGAAAGCTTTCCTAAGGTAATTCTTTACTGAGTTTGGCTTTAGATGCTCTGTTACTAATTATAAGGCAGACAGGAAAAGACTGAGAAAAAGCTATCATTTCAAGATAGGCTTTACAGGCTGGACGTTGTGGCTTGTGCCTGTAATCCCAACATTTTAGGAGGCTTAGACAGGAGGAATCACTTGAGCCTAGAAGTTCTAGACCAGCCTGGGCTGAGACTTCATCTCGACAGAAAACAAAAAGCAGCAACAAAAAAAAATTAGCTAAGTATGGTGACACACCCCTGTAGTCCCAGCTACTTGGGAGGCTGAGCTGGGAGGATTGCTTAAACTCAGAAGGTTGAGGCTGCAGTGAGCTGAGATTATGCCATTGCACTCCAGCCTGGGTGGCAGAGCAGGACCCTGTCTCTGTTTTATAAATGAAAGGCTGGGTGCAGTGGCTCACACCTGTATTCCCAACACTTTGGTTCAGATTGTGTGAGCCCAGGAATTTGAGACCAGCCTGGGCAACATTAGGGAAACCTCTTCTCTACAAAAAAAAAATTAGCCTGGTGTGGTGGCCCATGCCTGTAGTTCCAGCTACTCAGGAGGCTGAGGTGGAAGAATCTTCTGAGCCTGGAAGTTCCAGGCTGCAGTGGGCCAAGATTTTGCCACCATACTCCAGCCTGGGTGACAGAGTGAGACCTCATCTCAGGAAAAGGCTAAAGAAAAAATTTAATAGAAAAGATAGGCTTTGCTTCAGTAAACTGGTTGAGAAGAATAAGGAAAAACTCCATTCTATCGACTGACAATTCCCCCTGCTGTTAGAATCCCAACTATACGCTTTTGCACACTATTCCAGGCTTTGTCTACTACACGATCCCACAGCTGGGGTCTTTTGTTGTTAGTCCACTTCATTATTAGCAGCACTAAAAACATTTCCCAAAAAATGGTTTTTTTTAGCTTTTTATTTTAAATTGTAGGTTTACCACTAAGAAATTGACACTGGGACAGTCCACAAAGCTTGCTCAAATTTAATCAATTTTACATGCACTCATTTGTGTTGTGTGTGGTACATAGTTCTATTTCATTTTATCACTTGTGTATATTGATGTGACACCAACATAATCAAGATACAGAGCTGTTCTGTCATCACAGAGCTCTGCCATACTGTCCCTTTATAGACATTTCCACATCCGGCCCCCATTTCTAACCCCTGGAAACCACTAATCTGCTCTTCATCTCCACAGTTTTGTTATTTCAAGAATCGTATGTAAATGGAATCATGAAGTATAACCTTTTGAGAATGGCTTTTCACTCAATTCCCTTGAGATACATCCAAGTAGTTGCATGTATCAGTGGCTAATTCCTCCTTATTGCTACGTAGTACTTCATAGTATATATGTACATTGTTTAGCCATTCACCTTGAACATTTTGGTTGTTTCCAATTTGGGGCATTAACAATAAAGCTGATCTAAACAATCACACACAACAGACCCCCTTTGTCCTTGAAGAATATATCCCAAGACTGCCAGTAGGTGTCTGAAACCATGGATAGTATATACACTATCCATATGTGCTATGTATACTATATATCCTATACATATTTTTTCCTATACATACCTTTGATGAAGTTGAATTAGGCACTGTAAGAGACTGACAACAATTAAACAGAACAATTATACTGTAATAAAAGTTACATGAATGTGGCCTCAAAATATACTGTACTCATATTTTCAGACTGTGGGTAACTGAAACTGCAGAAAGCAAAACTGGCCGGGTGTGGTGGCTCACACCTGTAATCCCAGGACTTTGGGAGGCTGCGGTGTGTGGATCACTTGAGATCAGGAATTCGAGACCAGCCTGGCCATCATGGGGAAACCTCAACTCTACTAAAAATACAAAAATCAGCTGGGCTTGGTGGGACATGCCTGTAATCCCAGCTACTTGGGAGGCTGAGGCAGGAGAATCATTTGAACTCAAGAGGTGAAGGTTGCAGTTAGCTGAGATCATGCCACTGCACTCCAACTTGGGCAACAGAGCAAGACTAGAGTCTCAAAAAAAAAAAAAAAAAAAAAAGGAAAGCAAAACTGCAGTTAAGGGGGAAAGGGGGACTACTGTACAGGTTTTTGTGTAAACTTTAATTTCCCTGGGACGAGTGTTCACAATTGTGACTGCTAGGTCATTTGGTGGTTGCATATATTGTTTAAGAAACTGCCAGGCCGGGCGTGGTGGCGCATGCTGTAATCTTAGCACTTTGGGAGGCCAAGGCAGGTGGATCACCAGAGATTGGGAGTTTGAGACCAGCCTGACCAACATGGAGAAACCCTGTCTTATTTAAAAAAAAAAAAAGTGTATATATATATAAAGAAACTGCCAAACTTTTCACAGTGACTGTGCCATTTTACATTCCTATCATCAATGTACGAGTGATTCACT